AGGGCATTTTCATTAGAGTGGCTGTAGCGAGGCTTTGCTTTTGTACACACCCATAAAATATCATTTTAATTTCATGAGGGGTTACACATGAGTGAAGTAAGATTAATTCTTTCATTTTCAGTTTCTGGAAGGGATCGGTTAATGATGGTTCTGTGTATTTATATACGTGCCATAAAAAGGAGTTCAATTAACTGCTGGGCCCAAAATGTGCTGTTGACTTGCACTTTCCCTGCCAGGAATTGCTGCAAAAACACTTTTCCATCGGTCACATGTGAGGTGGGGCTGCTCAGTGCCCATCTCCCACCAGGTTAGAGCCCTGGATTTAGGGTGGGATTGGCTGGTAACAGTGCAGCACATGAGAAGGTTTGGTTTGTGTCCAAACTTCCCAGAATTGTGATGGTCCATTGGCCACAGAGCAGTTTCCTGGGCACTGGCAGACCTCAGGGTGGGGCACCCTGCTTTGGGGGTGCCCACACTGCTCCCTTCGGCAGGTACAGAATCTGTGTCTTAAATTACTTCAAATATTAATTGGCTGTGGATGAGTGAGCAGAGGGGCCAGGGACGAGCTGCAGGGCCAACAGAGATGGTGGGGTCCCCTCCTGTTCCCAGGGTCCCCCAGAGGCTCGGTGAAATGGCATCAGGGCTTCTGAAAGGTGGCACTGGGATGGCATTGGGGTGGCAGTTATGTTGGGGTGGCCTCAGGGTGCCTTTGGGGTGGCTTTTTGGCTTCAGATGGGTGACATTGCTATGGCGATTGTGTTGGGGTGGCCTCAGGGCTGTGCTTGGGCAGCGTTGGGTGCCAGCATCAGCATTGTGGCAGCATCACGGTGGTGCTGGGGTGGCACTTGAGTATCGTGAGGGTGGCACTGGGGTAGCATCAGGATGGCACTGGGCTGACACTGGAACAGTGTCAGGATGGCTTTGGGGTGACACTGGGACAGCATCAGGATGGCACTGGGCTGACACTGGGACAGCGTCAGGATGGCTTTGGGGTGACACTGAAGCAGTGTCAGGATGGCTTTCGGGTGACACTGGGGTGGCACTGGGACAGTATTAAGATGGCTTTGGGGTGATACTGGGACAGTACCAGCATGGCTTTGGGGTGTCACCAAGACATCCTCACACGGTGGCCACATTGGCACGGTGGCTGTGGTGGCACAGTGGCCAGCGTGGCACAGAGCACGGCGCCGGTGCCGCGCTAATACCTCGTGGAGGAGACAAATGGGAAGTGACACGTGTGTGTGTAGACGGGTATTTGTGGTGACGCTTTGACTGCAGATAATAAAGTGCTCGCCCCGAGGTGATCTAATTCAGCAGCCGCCTCGGCAGAGCCGTGCGCGACGAGGGGGAGAAGAAAGGGGAGGAAGAAAGGCCCGTCTGAAATGACATGT